GGGGGAGCCGCTGTGAGTGTAGGGGGGCTCAGCACCCCCAATCTTCATTCTCTGGGGTGGTTTGGGGTTTTTTGGGGGAGGGGGAGCCTCATTGGGGCAGGTTGGGAACCCCCCATGTCCCTCTGTGTCCCCACCCCGGGGACAGAGCTCATCGCGGGGGGCCACCACCCCTCTCCTTGGGGATGTCACCGCGGGGCTGGCGCACCCCAGGAGGGGCAGGACGAGCGCGGCAGCCCCTCCTGGGCAGCCTCGTGCCCACCCACCCACCCACGGCCGCGAAAATGTTCCCGGTGCCAGCGGCGCTTCGCCCCCCACGCACCCACCCACCCTGCCGGAGCACCCATCTGCTCGGGGGGGGGGCGGCCGGGACACCCCCACAGCCCCCCGGGGACACCCCCGGAGCCCCCCAGACCCCGCTGTGTCACCCCCCGGCCCCGCTCATTAGCGGCCGCTGATCTTCATTAAGCCCCTCATTAAGCGGCTCGGTGGGCACCGGGACGGAGCCGATGTGACAGGCGGGGACCCAGCGCTGGGAACCGCGGCTGGGGAGCCCCAACCCCTGGAACCCCGCTAACGAGGGGGTGCCAGCCCTCGCCGTGACCCCACGGGAGCTGCCAGCCCCAATCCCAATCCTAGCCCCAATCCCAATCCCAATTCCAACCGCAATCCCTGGGGTTTTAGGGAGCAGCTTTGGGGTGCTCAGCCCCCCCAAACCTTCAATCTCTGGGGCGGTTTTGGGGTTTTTTGGGGAGGGGAAGCCGCTGCGGGTGCAGGGGGGGCTCAGCACCCCAAACCTTCACACACGGAGAGGTTTTGGGATTTTTTGGGGAGGGGAAGACGCTGTGGGTGCAAGGGGGGCTCAGCAGCCCAAACCTTCACTTTCTGGGGTGGTTTTGGGGTTTTTTAGGGAGGGGGAACCGCTGTGGGTGCAGGGGGAGTTCAGCATCCCAAACCTTCACACACGGAGAGGTTTTGGGGTTTTCTGCGAAGGGGGAACCAGTGTGGGTGCAGCGGGAGAACAGCACCCCAAATCTTCACTCTCTGGGGTGGTTTTGGGGTTTCTGTGGACAAGGAGCTGCTGTGAATGCAGGGGGAGCTCAGAATCCCAAACTCTCTGGGGTGGTTTTGGGGTTTTTTGGGGAGGGGAAGCCGCTATGGGTGCAGGGGGAGTTCAGCACCCTAAACCTTCACTCTCTGGGGCAGTTTTGGGGTTTTTCGGGGAAGGGAAGCCGCTGTGGGTGCAGGGGGAGATCAGCACCCCAAACCTTCACACACTGAAAGATTTTGGGGTTTTTGGGGAGGGGAAGCCGCTGTGGGTGCAAGGGGGGGCTCAGCACTGCTCCCCTCATTGAGAAACCCTATCCCAACGTGGGGAGACGGCTCCGACATCCCCGGGTGAGGGAAACCCCGCTGGCAGAGGGGGATTCACAGCGCGGTTATAAAACAGTGGGGTAGCAGGGGGGGCGGCTGTGAGCATGCTCTGCACAGCACAAACGCTCCCAAACCCGCTCGGCCCCCCCGGCCCTTCCCACATCCTCACACCTTCCCCCGCTCCCATCGGGAATCGCAGGGGATGAGGAGGAGGAGGAGGAGCCGCTGATGCACCAACCCAGCCCAGCCCGATCCCGCTGCTGAGAGAGGGGCTGGGACCCCATGGATGTGGTCCCTGATCCCAGATTTTATGGGGAAAGGTTCAGGGTGCTGGGATGGGGATGTGACCCCATGGATGTGGATGTAGGATTTTGGGATGGGGCTGTAACCCCATAGATACGGCTGTTAATCCCAGATTTTACAGGGAAGGATTCAGGATGCTGGGATGGGGATCTGATCCCATAGACGTGTTCCTGCATCCTCAGATTTTACAGGGAAAGGTGCAGGATGTTGGGATGGGGCTGTGGCTCCATGGATGTGGCCCAGAATCCTCAAATTTTAGAGGGAAGGATTCAGGATGCTGGGATAGGGATGTGACCCTGTGGATATGGATGTAGGATTTTTTGATGGGGCTGTGTTCCTGTGGATATGTCCCTGTATCCTCAAATTTTAGAGGGAAGGATTCAGGATGCTGGGATAGGGCTGTGATCCCATGGATGTGGCTTTTAATCCCAGATTTCACAGGGAAAGGTGCAGGATTTTGGGATGGGGCTGCGACCCCATGGGTGTGTCACTGAATCCTCAGATTTTACAGGGAAAGGTTCAGGATGCTGGGATGGGGATGTGACCCCATGGATATGGATGTAGGATTTTGGGATGGGGCTGTGGCCCATGGATGTGTCCCTGAATCCTCAGATTTTACGGGGAATGATTCAGGATGCTGGGATGAGGCCATGATCCCACGGATATGGATATAGGATTTTGGGATGGGGCTGTGTTCCCATGGATGGGGCCCTGCATCCCAGATTTCACAGGGAAAGGTTCAGGATTCTGGGATGGGGATCTGATCCCATAGATGTGTTCCTGCATCCCAGATTTCACAGGGAAAGGTGCAGGATGTTGGGATGGGGCTGTGGCTCCATGGATGTGGCCCAGAATCCTCAAATTTTAGAGGGAAGGATTCAGGATGCTGGGATAGAGATGTGACCCCGTGGATATGGATGTAGGATTTTGGGATGGGGATGTCACCCCATGGATGTGCCCCTGAATCCTCAGATTTTACAGGGAAGGATTCAGGATTTTGGGATGCTATGTCACCCCACAGATGTGTTCCTGCATCCTCAGATTTTACAGGGAAAGGTGCAAGTTGTTGGGATGGGGCTGTGACCCCATGGATGTGGTCCCTGCATCCTCAGATTTTACAGGGAAGGATTCAGGATGCTGGGATAGGGCTGTGACCCCATGGATGTGGCTTTTAATCCCAGATTTCACAGGGAAAGGTGCAGGATTTTGGGATGGGGCTGCGACCCCATGGGTGTGTCACTGAATCCTCAGAATTTACAGGGAAAGGCGCAGGATCTTGGGATGAGGCTGTGATCCCATGGATATGGATATAGGATTTTGGGATGGGGCTGTAACCCCATAGATACAGCTCTTAATCCCAGATTTTACAGGGAAGGATTCAGGAATTTGGGATGGGTATGTCATGTTCCTGCATCCTCAGATTTTACAAGGAAAGGTGTCGGGATGGGATGGTGACCCCATGCTTGGGGCCCCAAATCCCAGATTTTACAGGGAATGGTGCAGGATGCTGAGATGGGGATGTGACCCCACAAATGTGTCCCTGAATCCTCAGGTTTTACAGGGCAGGATTCAGGATGTTGGGATGGGGTTGTGATCCCACAAATGTGTCCCTGAATCCTCAGATTTTACAGGGAAAGGTGCGGGATGCTGGAATGGGGCTGTGACCCCCATGGATGTGTCCCTGCATCCTCAGATTTTAAAGGGAAAGATTTGGGGTTTGGAATCCAGGGATTCTCTGGGAATTCCATCCCAGCCAAAAATTCCCCCCCAAATTCAGCATCACCCCAGCCAAAACCCCAAAAACCCCAAAAACATTGGGAGAGTCATCCCCCAGGCAAGGAAATTTTGGATGGAGCAGCACCTGAGGAAGGCGAGGATGGACCAGGGAGAGGCTCAGGGTCCCTTGTGAATGATTTTATTTCCACTGCTGCAGGGAGTGGGAGCGAAAACCCCATGAAGTCGCCGGGCTGGGAGGTGCGGGTGCCGTTGGGAATATCTGTACATTCTACCAGTCTATATACACATCAGATATAAATATACATAAATCCAGGGGGGCTCCGTCCGGGTTTAGGGCTCAAACCTGTCCCACCCAACTGCAGGGAGAGCTGCAAAGGAGATTTTACCCTCCTTAATTAGCAGGAGGTTTTAATTAATGGGAAAAGGGGAGCACCTCTGTGCCAGCTGCAGGGAGGAGGACACGGTGCCCGTCCGTGGCCGTCCTGGGAAGGGTCAGTTCTGCAGGCTGGGCACAAAAGGAGCTTTCTTTGGTTTATTTAATGCTCATTGCAGTTGGATTTTGATTTTTTTTTTCCTCTCTCTCTAATGCTCGGCCTTTAAATCCAAATCCTGAGACTCAGGAAGAAAAGAAGAGAATAATCCCCCCTAAACCCGGAGACCCAATAAATGCAGGTACAGCTATAGGGGGGGGAGAGATACATGTGGGGACGGGGAAGAGCAGGGATGAAAATAGCCCTTCCAAAGGATGATTCTTCCCTTTTCTTCTCCCTTCCTTTTATTTCTAATAAAAAAAAAAAAATAAAATAAAAAACAAGGCAAAGCCCAGCCATGTGTGATTGGCTCCGGAGAGAAACTGAGCCGTGGATGTGGCCCTGGAGCCTCAGATCTCAGAGGGAAGGGGACAGGATTTTGGGATGGCGATGTGACCCCACAGATCTGATTTTACAGGGAATGATGCAGGATTTTGGGATGGGGCTGTGACCCCATGGATGTGGATGCAGGATTTGGGGATTGCGTTGTGGCCCCATGGGTGGGGCCCTTGATCCCAGATTTTAGAGGGAAGAATTCAGGATTTTGGGATGGGGCTATGATCCCACAGATCTGTCCCTGAATCCTCAGATTTTACAGGGAAGGATGCAGGATGCTGGGATGGGGCTGTGACCCCATTTATGTGGCCCTGTATCCCTCCAGTTTAGAGGGCAGGATTCAGGATTTTGGGATGGAGCTGCGACCCCATGGGTGTGGATTCAGGATGTTGGGATGGGGCTGTGTCCCCATGGATGTGGATTCAGGATTTTGGGATGTGGCTGTGACCCCATGGATGTGGATGCAGGATGTTGGGATGGGGCTGTGGCCCCATGGATGTGGATGCAGGATTTTAGGATGGGGCTGTTATCACATGGATGTGGATTCAGGATTTTGGGATGGGGCTGTGGCCCCATGGATGTGGATGCAGGATTTTGGGATGGGGTTGTGATCCCATGGATGTGGATTCAGGATGTTGGGATGGGGCTGTGGCCCCATGGATGTGGATTCAGGATTTTGGGATGGGGCTGTGGCCCCATGGATGTGGATGCAGGATGTTGGGATGGGGCTGTGTCCCCATGGGTCGGTTCTAGGATGGGGATTTGAAGCCGGGCAGGGTCTGCTCCTGCCCAGGGGGTGTGGGAAGGTGTCCACCCCACACATGGGCAGGAAACCCTCCCTGCTCCATCCCCACAGATCCAGAGCTCCAGGCAGGATTTAGATCCTCCTCCTCTGGAGAAACGTGGAGCCAAAGCTCTCCAGAAGGGTGACAGGAGTGTCCCCATCCCTGGCATGGCCTGATTGTCCATCCTCCCTCCCCTTCTACGCATCCCACCACCCTCATCTCCAGTTCATCCCATCCCAGCTCCAAAACCCACCGGGAACGTTTCATGGTGCTGGACACACCCTGAGCCCAGCGGCTCCATCCGGACCGACCCCAAACCCTGCGGGGCACAAGGGAGAGATGGAACCGGGGACAAGGACAGCGAGCTGTGACACGGCAGAGCGCGGTCCCCAAGGAGCCACCGCTGTCCCCGCAGGGCAGGAAAAGGGGAAAACGAGGAGAGGGATGGAGGCGAGGAGAGAGCAGGGGGAGAGAGGGAGGAGAGAAGGTCCCACGTGTCTGAAATGTCCGAGCAAAGCCTGGGAGAGGCGGGCAGGGCTAAAACACCACGGACTGCAGCAGGCGGAAACACAGCATCAGGTCCAGAGGGATGGGCGGCTTCAGCAGGTTCCCGTCCAGCCGCAGGTAGCGCAGCCGGGGCACGCTGTCCAGGTTGGAGGGAGAGAAATCCTGGATGGACACCAGCGAGGTGGGGCAGATCTGAGTGCCGTTGATTTCTGCGGGGACAGGGGACACACATGGGGGTGAGGGACAGGGAAAAGGGAATGCGGAGATGAAGAACAGTGGGATGAGGGTTAGGGAAAAGGGGAAAAGGGAGTGTGGAGAGGAGGAGATGTGAAATTTGGGTTAGGGAAAAGGGAATGTGGAGAGGAGGAAGAGCAGGATGAGGGTTAGGGAAAAGGGAATGTGGAGAAGAAGAGAAGTGGGATTTGGGTTAGGGAAAAGGGAATGTGGAGAGGAGGAACAGTGGGGTTTGGGAAAAAGGAATGTGCAGAAGAGGAAGAGCGTGATTCATGTTAGAGAAAAAGGAATGTGGAGAGGAAAAACAGTGGGATAAGGGTTAGGGAAAAGGGGAAAAGGGAATGTGGAGAGGAGGAAGAATGGGATGTGGGTTTGGAAAAAAGGAATGTGGAGAGGAGGACCAGCGGGATGAGGGTTAGGGAAAACAGGAATATGGAGAGGAGGAAGAGCAGGATGTGGGTTAGGGAAAAAAGGAATGTAGACAAGGGGAGCAGTGGGATGAGGGTTAGGGAAAAGGGAATGTGGAGAAGTAGAAGAGTGGGTTACAGGTTTGGGAAAAGGGAATGTGGGCAGGAGGACCAGTGGGATGTGGGTTAAGGGAAAGGGGAATGTGGACAGGGGGAGCAGTGGCATTCAGGTCAGGGAAAAGGAAATATGGGCAGGAGGAGCGGAGGATTACAGGTTAAGGAAAGGGGAATGTGGAGAAGTGGAAGAGTGGGATGCAGGTTTGGGAAAAGGGAATGGAGAGGAAGAGCAGTGGGATGTGGGTTAGGGAAAAGGGAATATGGAGAAGAGGAAGAATAGGACGAGGGTTAGGGTAAAAAGGAATGTGGAGAGGAGGAAGAGTGGGATGCGGGTTTGGGAAAAGAGAATGTGGACAGGGATTTTTGACCCCCCCCCCCCCCCCCGCTGTTGAACCCCAAATTGGGGTCGTTTTGCCACCAAAAGGGACAATCCCAGGCTGCTCAAAGCCCCAGCGAGAGGGAAAATCTGGCTTTTGATCAGGAGCGAAGTAGGTCACGTTCCTCGGGAGCGCAGCTCGGGATGCGGCGGCATTCCGGAGACAAAAGGGATCACCCCGCCCCAGGAACCTCGGCCCTGGAATTGCGGCTGGATTTCCCTGGGATGGTGTGGGGCAGCCCTGGCTGCTCTGCCTCCATGGGATGTTCCCTCACCATCCCAAGCCGTGTGTTTGGCATCTCTCCCTAAAACATCCGCCCAAGCTTTCCTTGTTAAATATCCCAATTTTTTTCCAAGGAAAGAGCCTTTCCAAGGGCAGGTGGCTCCAAAGAAGACAACCAGGAAAAGTCCTGCAGCACCACAGGGGATTCACTCTGCTCCTCCCCTTCCACCCAGACCCTCCCTCCACCCCACCTCATCCCACCCCTTTGAAGTGATCACATCCCACCGGGTGAGAAACGACCTTTCCAAGGTTTTTATCCCCAAAAAGCCCCGTGGGACTCACTCTCGATGGAGTTGTTGTTCAGGTAGAGGTGCTCCAGCTTGGGGCTGATGAAGGGCACGTTGGTGAGCTTGTTGTGGGCCAGGTGCAGCACCAGCAGGTTGGTGAGGTTGAAGGAATTTTTGGGCAGCCCCTTATCCGAGATCTGGTTGTAGTTGAGCCGGATGAAAGCCAGGTTGGGAAACTCCTTGAAATAATCGCTGGGGATGTCCTCGATGTTGTTCCTGTCCAGGAAGAGCTGGTGGATGGCGCTGGGCACGCCGGGGGGCATCTTCCTCAGGATGTTGTGGGCCAGGTTGAGCTGCATGAGGTTCTTGAGCCCCTTGAAGGTGTTCTTGTTGAAGACGCCGTCGCTCAGCTTGTTGTGGTGCAGGTCCAGCAGCACCAGGTTCTCCAGCTTGTTGAAGACCCCAGGAGGGATCTTGGAGATCTGATTCCTGCTGAGCCTCAGCTGCTCCAGGTTGGGCGGCAGGAACGCCGGCACCTCCTTCAGCTGGTTCCTCTCCATGTAGAGGAAGATGAGGTTCTCCAGCTTCTCCAGCACCTTCCTGTCCACCTTGCGGATGCGGTTGTTGTCCAGGTTGACCCACTTGAGGCCGGTGGCGTTGCGGAAGGACTCCTCGGGCAGGTCGGCGATGAAGTTGTTCTGCAGGTACAGGTAGTGGATGCGCGCGGGGATGACGGGCACCGTGCGCAGGTTGCGGCTGTCGCAGTACAGCGCCGACGGGAAGTCGGGCGGGCAGTAGCACTCCCGCGGGCAGTCGGGGAACACGGACGGGGGGCCCGGAGGGAGGGGAGGGGGCAGCTCTGTGGGCTCCACGGGCTCCTCGAAAGGCAGGGGAGGCCGGGTGGGCCGGCGGGGCGGTTTGCGGCGCTGCCCGCTCGCCACCAGCGCCAGCGCCAGCGGGAGGAGGAACGCAAGGGTCGCCCTCATGGTCCAGGTGATTTCCTGCAGGGACACGAGGAGAGGGGTTGGGTGGTGGGGAAGATGGAACAGGAAAGCCTTATAAATATGATTGTCTGGCAAAAGATTTTGAGAATGTGGAAACTATAAGCGAGATTGAAATGAAAGCAAGCTTTGAGATCTCTTAGTTACTGAACAACAGGAAAACAATGGTGTGGCCGCTGAAAGTAATCCCCTTTTGATGGAACAACACCCCCTGCTTGCAGACAGGCCCAAGGGTCAGAGCAGACTCTACAGCTTGGCAGAAGGGGCCCAAAGAGGAGTTTTTAGGGTTTAAAATGTAGCACAGTGTGGTAATGTAATGATTCTTATAGGCTGTATGGAAATGCTGTAGGATTTGTATCTTGTACTGGATTGGTTAGTGAGAATCAGAATATTCAACACAGAAGATGATTTATTGTATTGTAATGGGAAATTTGTTGTCTTGTCTCTTAGCTCTTACCTCTTGTCTCAGAGCTCTTGACTTTTACGCTCTTACCCCTTTTACTCTCTTATGCTTTTTCTCTCTTTCCCTCTCATCCTCTCTGCCCCTCTCTTCTCTCAGTCCTGCTCCAGCTGTGTTTGGCAGCTCCCAGCAGGGCCCTGCACTTGGCCCTTTGCAATAAACCCCAAGTTCCATGACCTGGCTTCAGAGATCTCTCATCTCCATCCATCCCGACCGTCCTACCCCCTGTCAATCCTACAGCTGGGTGTTGCAGACATCTTTTATGAAAAATCCTTTCCATTATCCATGGAATTCCTCTCCCTGCCTCACCGTTATCCATGGGGAATGTTGCTGTTGTTGTTTTGTTTTGTTTTTAATTCGGGTTTTTATTTCATGTTCTCACCCTGCTCTGCCCGGGCCCTCCCCAGAGGCCACTTCCATCCTCTCTTCCCAAAGGACGGATCAGCTCTTCAGACTCCTGCATGGATTTGGCTTCGTTTGGCACTGAGGACAGCAAATCCATGATTCCAGAGGAAATTGGCTCTGGAAAAGCACCAGGAAGGAAGGAAGGAAGGAAGGAAGGAAGGAAGGAAGGAAGGAAGTGGCAGAAGGAAGTGGCGGAAGGAAGGAAGGAAGTGGCGGAAGGAAGGAAGGAAGTGGCGGAAGGAAGGAAGGAAGGAAGGAAGTGGCGGAAGGAAGTGGCAGAAGTGGCGGAAGGAAGTGGCAGAAGTGGCGGAAGTGGCGGAAGTGGCGGAAGTGGCGGAAGTGGCGGAAGGAAGGAAGGAAGGAAGGAAGGAAGGAAGGAAGGAAGGAAGGAAGGACAGGAGAAGCCTTTGGAGGTGCTGGAGCAGCTGGTGTCAATTTTGGGGGGAAATCCAGCACTTCCAGCACAGCAAAGTGGGGTTCACTGCCCGTCCTCCCTTTCCAGCCCATTTCCAGCTCTCCTCATGCCTGGAATCCCCAATTTCCATCACCCCTGAAGGAGGAAAATCCCCCACCCAACCCAGGAACCGCAGGGACCCCCTGGCCTACCCTCTTCCAGAGCCACCTCTGCCATCCCCATCTCCCTTTGCAGCCACCCCACGCTTTCCTGAGGCTCCAAGGAATTGGCTTTCTCCAGGAAAAGTTCCTGTTTTGGCCCCTCTTGCCGGCCCAGCCTGTTCCTGCCCATCTGGCTCCGGTTAACCCCGCACGCCTCCCGGGCCGGCTGCTTTCCGTCAGGGCTCTGGCATCTCGCTGGGGGAAGGGAGGAGCAGGGAAGGAGCCAGCAGAGCCCGGAGCTGCCGGGTCCTGAGCCCGGCAGAGCTGCAGCAGGTCCTGCTCGGGGATGGACGTGATCCTGTCCCCGCATTCCGGGTTCGGTGACAGGAAAATGGGAAAATCCGTGACGGGGATCTGTTTGTGCAGTGCCCTTCCCATTCTGGCAGAATCCTGCTCCTTCCCCAGACACACCACGTGGATCTCGCTCACAAAGCTTTCCATGGGGATCCCAGAGCTTTCCATGGGGTCCCAGGGCTTTCCATGGCATCCCAGACCTTTCCATGGGATCCCAGAGCTTTCCATGGGGTCCCAAAGCTTTCCATAGGATCCCAGAGCTTTCCATGGGGTCCCAGAGCTTTCCATGGGGTCCCAGAGCTTTCCATAGGATCCCAGAGCTTTCCATGGGGTCCCAGAGCTTTCTATGGGGTCCCAGGGCTTTCCATGGGGTCCCAGGGCTTTCCATGGGGTTTTTCCTCTGCTCCAGAACCTGGATTTTAACCCCACAAACACCCAAGGGGGAGCTGAGGTCAGAGCTTGGCTCGGTGCAGAGGGGAGGGAGCAGCTGGGAGGTGACCATTCCAGCTGGGAGGTGACAATCTTCCATCCAGGACACGACATTCCAAGCTGTGATCCAGGTGTTGGATCCACTCAGGCCACCCAGCAATGTCCCAGCAGGGCTGGGGGGACAGGGCAGCGCTGTCACCCCACTGACTCTGCCCTGTCCCCTCCACACGAGGATTTGACATCCCAGATGTTTGTGGACTCGGCACAGAGCGGGAACAGCCACCCCAGCCAGGAATTCTGGCTGGAGGGTGACAAAATCCTGTGGAATTCTGCCGGCACAGACGGGCAGTGGCGGGAGGGTGAGGCCACCCCTTTTGTCCACCCTGCGGGGACCGTCCCAGCCCTGTGGCACTGCCATCACCCTTTCCCTGGCGTGCCTGTCCCCATCCTGCCTGGGGAAAGCAGAACTCACTTTTTTTTCCAAGCAAACTGCAGGAAAGCAGCGACATTCCCAAAAAAACCAGGGATGCAACGAGCCCGAGGCCACCAACGCGTCACAATCGCTGCAAGATTCCAAGCCAGCTCTCCCAGGAAAAGCTGGAAGTGTGTTCTCCACCCAGTTGGGTTTACTGGCATGAATTCCAGGAGCAGAATTCCCAAATCCCACCCCCCTGATCGCACCAGAGCCTGTGGGACAGCTCCATTCCAGCTGCCCACAAGGAATCCGCGCCACTGGAACAAAGTTTAGTCATGGAGCAACGCAGGAATTCAGGAAACCGACGGCCTGGCGTGGAAAAAAGGCTCAATTCATGGACAAAACCAGCCCTGACACCTCCTCGCTCTGCAGGGCCAAGGCACCCAACACATCCCGGGGTTTTTCCCAGAAGGAGGCAGCTGCTTCCTCAGCCCTTCTGCTTACAATGGACAAAAAAAAATTATTTAAAAAAAAAAAATCCTTGCAACAGCTGGAAATTCCAGCCCCGAATGCCGCTGGGGTTTGCTCTGCGCATATTTTCTGCTCCCTGCATCCCAGTAACCCCCAGCTCCAGCGGCGCTGGCTGCCAGCCCCGGGATGGGATGGGATGGACGCCAAGGGCAGGGAGAAGCCGCCACGCCGGGGCGAGAGGGAGCGGTGCAAAGGTCACCGAGGGGGATTTGTCACGGCAAAGTCCCCCTCGATGTCCCTCGGGTGCCTCAGCAGCGGTGAGGGGACAGCGAGCAGCTGGATCCCGGTGTTTGTGCGAGATCCCGCTCCCCGCTGAGGGATAAAGGGAATTTAAGCTCTGGGAGAGGCAGGAAAAGCCTGGATGGCTGAGCAGGGCCCCTTTCCAGCACATTCCCGCAATTCCCATCAGTCCTGGTGGGGGAAAAGCCCCTCTCCAGCCTGGGAGCGGGAATGTCGGAGCAGAACAAGATAAAAATAAACCACAGGGACCGGGCAAAGCTCCTTCCTTGGCTTCCCTCGCGTCCAGCACCGCTCGTGTCTCTGCGAGAGCCCGACCCAGCTCGGAGCTCGTCATGCAGCGCCTCTGGAGCGCCGGGAATCGTGGAAAAAGGGCGAGGGCAGCCAGGCTGTCACCCGGGCGTCGCCGGGGTCCCTTGGGAGGCGCAGCCCTGATGCAACAACCCCGCGGGTCTCGCCCTTTCCCAGCGAGCGGCGGAGCCGGGCTGGAGCCGGGGTTGGGTCCTGCTACGTTCCTGCTGGGATGGAGCTGTGTCCATGCAGGGATGGGTGACACCCACCAGGACTCTCCGTCCTGTCCCATTCCCGCTGGGATGGAGCTGTGTCCATGCGGGGATGGGTGACACCCACCAGGACACAGCCAGGACATGGTGACAACAGCGCGGGGCTCCTGCGTGCCAGGAGGGTCCCCAGAGACCCCGGAGTCCTTCCCAAAGGCTCATCTCGTCCTTTATTCCCGGGTCTCCAGAGTCTCCAGGATTCTTCCCAAAGGCTCATCCCTTCCTCTGTTTCTGGGTCCCCAGAGACCCCGGGATCGTCCCCAATGGTTCATCCTGTCCTTTATTCCTGGGTCCCCACAGCCCTTCCCAAAGGCTCATCCCATCCCCTGCTCCTGGGTCTCCAAAATCTCCAGGATCCTTCCCAAAGATTCATTCCGGCCCCTGCTCCTGAGTCCCCAAATCCCCAGGATCGTCCCCAAAGGCTCATCCTGTCCTTTATTCCCAGATCCCCAGAGTCCCCGGGATCCTTCCCAAAGGCTCATCCTGTCCTTTATTCCCGAGTCCCCACGGACCTCAGGATCCTCCCCAAAGGTTCATCCCGTCTTTTATTCCTGGGTCCCCACAGTCCCCGAGATCCTTCCCAAAAGCTAATCCTGTCCTTTATTCCCGGGTCGCCAAATCCCCAGGATCCTCCCCAAAAGCTCATCCTGTCCTTTATTCCCGGATCCCCAAATCCCCAGGATCCTTCCCAAAAGTTCATCCCGTCCTTTATTCCCAGGTCCCCAAATCCCCAGGATCCTTCCTAAAGGCTCATCCCATCCCCAGCTCCTGAGTCCCCACAGACCCCGGGATCCTTCCCAAAGGCCCATCCCCTCCTTTTTACCCGGGTCCCCAGAGTTCTTGGGATCCTTCCCAAAGCTCATCCTGTCCCCTGCTCCTGGATCCCCACAGTCCCCGGGATCCTCCCCAAAGCCTCATCCCGTCCTTTGCTCCCAGATCCCCAAATCCCCGGGATCCTCCCCAAAGATTCATCCCGTCCTCCTCTCCCTCCTCCCGTGGCAAGGCGGCCCCGGCCGGGATCACCTTCCTGCAGCTCCCTGGGTCTCAGCAATTCCTCCCTCCCTCCCTGCGTGTCCCGGCCCTTCCCAGCGCCGCTCCCGGCTCGGATCCCGCCGCCACTCGCACTGGGAACGGCTGCGCAGGGACAAAAGCGGATCCCGCCGCCACTCGCACTGGGAACGGCTGCGCAGGGACAAAAGCGGATCCCGCTGCCAAAGCGCCGCCGGCCGGACCCCACGCACGCCCCGCTCGCCCCCCCAGCAGCCGCCTCGCCTCGTTCCGCTTCTCCCTCAGGCCGGGAAGCGGCTCCGACGCCTCATTCCCTCCTCCAAGGGCAGGGGAAACCTCCCACGGCTGCGCTTTGATCTCTTCCCGGGCTGGAAGAGCTGATGCCTCACTCTCCCGGGAGCAGGGACGCGATTCCCGCATTCTGGCTGTGCCAGGAAACGGCGCTGGGATGCCCTGGGCTCCACAGGAGGTACGGTTGGGATTGTGGGATCCCAGAATCCCATGATCCCAAGGATTGCAGGATCCCAGAATCCCAAGGACTGCAGAATCCTAGGACTGCTGTATCCCAAGATCCCAGGATTGCAAAAACCCCAAACCCCAAAATCCCAGGATCCTAGAATCCCATGATCATAGGATCCCAGGATTGCAAGATCACAGGATCCCAGAATCCCAGAATTGCAAGATCCCAGAATCCCAAAATCCCAGAATCCCATGATCCCAGAATCCCAGGATTGCAAGATCACAGGATCGCAGAATCCCGGAATCCCATGACCCCAGATCCCATGATCGCAGGATTGAAAGATCCCAGAATCCCAGGATTGCAACATCCCAGGATCGCAGAATCCCAGAATCCCAAAATCCCAGGATCCCAGAATCCCATGATCACAGAATCCCAGGATTGTAGAAACCCAAAATCCCAAAATCCTAGGATTCTAGAATCCCATAATCGCAGAATTGCAACATGCCAGAATCCCAGGATTGCAAGATCCCAGGATCGCAGAATCCCAAAATCCCAGGATCCCATGATCACAGGACCCCAGGATTGCAGGATCCCAGGACCCCCAGGACGTTTCCAAGCCCTCACACGCCGCACACCACGGGCATGAATTCCCATGTTTTGCTTTGGAGCTGCTTTTCCCCAAACCTCTCCAGCCGGCGGGCAAGGGCAGGTCTGGGATCAGCCTCTTCCAAGTAACAAAACTCCTTTTCCTTCCAACAAAACTCCTTTTTTTTTTGTTTGTTTTTTCCCCAGGATTTCGGCGAACATCGTTTTGTTTCCCGCTCGTTCCTCCTGGCGGAGCGGGGACAAAGAACCCCGGGACCCCCGAGGGGAGGGGGCTGCACTCCCCTCCCACCTGGAGCTGAGCTCCGGGCAGGAAAAGTGGGATTACATTCCCTGGGAATGCTCGGTGCGATCCAGGCAGGAAAGAAAGGCTTTACCACCAACATTTTGGGCAGAAAACAGCCCGTTGGAGCTGTGGGGCTGCTCGCTCCCACCCCGCTCCCGTCTGAAATTCCCTGTTCCCGCTCCATGGGAGCAGCCCCCCAAACCCAGGACGGGGCGCCCCGATGTCCCCGGAGGCTCCGGGTGTCATTCCTGGCTCCGGAGGGGTCTCTCCTCCCCTCAGCCTCTCCCTTTCCTCGCTTGTTTTCCCTCCTGCTTCCAGGGCAGGGATTGTGCAGCCCTCCCAGTTCCCCCAGTTCCGGCCCCCAGTTCCCCCAGTTCGGCTGCAGAGCCGAACGTGCTGGGGTTTGGGGTGTTGGGGACGCACAAAGGGCACCTCATGTGCCCCCAAAAGCGCCTGGCAGTGACCGCAGCGCTGTCACACCCCCCCGGGCCCCCACATTCCCCCCTCGTGCACCCCAGAAACTCCTGGAAGCGGAGCAGAGACAGAACAAAGACTGCAGAGCGCCGCAGGACAGAGAACCAAGAGGAGAGGGGGAAAGAGGAAGAGGAGCAGATGTTTCTGGGGATGGGAGGAAGGCCGGAGAGGGCAGGAGCATCGTGGAGCGCTGGCTGGGAGGCTCGGGCAAGGTGAGGAGAGCCCGGAGGGGGAAACACCTGCCCAGAGCTTACCTGCGTGCACCTCTCCCTGCTCCTGCCTCCTATTAATCCCCAAGACAAGTTTCTCTCTGGCTTCTCTCTCCCTCCTCCTCCTCCTCTTCCACCTCCACCTCCTCCTCCTCCTCTTCCTCCTCCTCCTCCTCTGCGCTCCGCCACGGGCGAGCCCGGCCGGGAGCGGGGGTTTTGTGGCTGGGAGTGCGGGGGGCGGAGGGCTGGGAGGGAGGGCTGGGAGGGCTGGGAGGGATGGGAGCGCTGGGAGGGGGGTACTGGGAGCACTGGGAGGGATCACTGGGAGCACTGGGAGGGAGGGCTGGGAGCATTGGAAGCACTGGGGGCACTGGGAGGGCTGGGAGGGAGCACTGGGAGCACTGGGAGCACTGGGAGGGAGCACTGGGAGGGAGGGCTGTGAGCACTGGGAGCACTGGGAGGGAGCACTGGGAGCACTGGGAGGGAGGGCTGTGAGCACTGGGGGCACTGGGAGGGCTGGGAGGGCTGAGAGGGAGCACTGGGAGCACTGGGAGGGAGCACTGGGAGCACTGGGAGGGAGGGCTGGGAGCATTGGAAGCACTGGGGGCACTGGGAGCACTGGGAGGGAGCGCTGGGAGCACTGGGAGGGAGCACTGGGAGCACTGGGAGCGCTGCGAGCGAGGCACGCTGACAACAATCCCGTCTTTCTCTGGCAGCCGAGAGCGCACGGCAACAATTCCTCCTCCTCCTCCTCCTCTTCCTCCTCCTCCTCCTCCTCCTGCTGCTGCTGCTGCTGGCGCGGAGGCAGCTCCTTGTTTCAAAACAAAGCTAATTAATCACGGAACAAGCCCTGCCCTCGCCGCCGGCTCCGCTTCCCCAGGGGCGGGATGGAGTTCGTGCGCAGGGTGGCTGTCCCCTGTCGCTTTACCACACCCGTCCCTGTCCCAGAATCGCCGGGATTTGGGATCCAAGGGGGCACAGGAGCCCTCCAGCCCTGGGAATCGCCTTCCCACATCCATCCCTATTCCAGAATCTCTGGGATGTGAGATTTAGGGGGCAGAGCAGCCCCCCAGCCCCAGGAATTGCTATCCCACATCCATCCTTGTCCCAGAATCCCTGGGATTTGGGATCTAGAGGGGCACGGGAACTCCCCAGACCAAGGAATCCCCATCCCACATCCATCCTTGTCCCAGAATCCCTGGGATTTGGGATCCACAGGAGCCCCCAGCCCTGGAAATTGCCATCCCACATCCATTCCTATCCCAGAATCTTTGGCATTTGGGATCCAGAGGGGCACAGCAGTGCTGGGAATCGCCCTCTCACATCCATCCCTATTCCAGAATCGCCGGAATTTGGGATCTGGGGGGGCACAGGAAGCCCCCCAGCCTTGGGAATCGCCCTCCCACATTCATCCCTGTCCCAGAATCGCCGGCATTTGGGATCCATGGGGGCAGAGCAGCCCCCCAGACCAAGGAATTGCTATCCCAGACCCATCCCTGTCCCAGAATCCCCGGGATTTGGGGTCTGGGGTCTCCTCCCTCCCACCCCACCACCCCCCTCTCTCCACCCGCAGCAGCCCCGTGAAACCCGAGCTGCTCTGGCTCCTCGAAATCCCAATCGCGGCCGTGCCAGGGCTGGCAGCCACCCAGGAGGGGCTGCTCCTACCCTGGCAGCCGAATCCGGAGCTTTTCCCAAAATCCCCCCTCTCTGCACGGCCCCTTTTGCCTTAAATTGATTTATTTATTTTATTTTTGGGGCTTTTCTTTTTACCCTAAAACCAAGGATTGCTCCTTGCTGAGGGATGGAGAAGGACGATCCCAAACCTGAAATCCAGCAGGTAGATGGGGAGGGAGCCAGGAAAAAGCACCGAGAGGACCCACAGAGGAATTCCAGGCTGTTCAAACAAAAACTCGGGATGGAGGCTCGAGTTTGCCAGCTGGAAAAGCACCAGGATCAATAGGGAAAGGAGATGCTGTTTGAAAGGAGATGCTGCTGGAATTTGACGCTAATTCCTTTCAAAACCAGTCCAAAAATCCCCCATATCCATGGGGACATGTTCCATGGGGGTTTCTTTGTTTTGCTTTGGTTTGGGTTTTTTGGGTGTTTGGGGGTTTATTTTTGGGTTTTTTTTGTTGTGGTTTTTTCGCTTGTGGTTTTTTTTTGGGGGGGGGTGTTTTGAGGTTTTTTTGGTTTTTTGTTTTATTTTGTTGTTGTTGGTTGGTTGGTTTGGGGGTTTGGGGGTTTTTTTTGGGTTTTTTTGGGTTTTTGGGGGTTTTTTTGGAGGTTTTTTTTTGTTTGTTTTGGTTGGGGTTTTTTGGGGTATTTTGGGTTTTATTTTGGTTTTTGGGGGTTTTTTGTTTTTGTTTTTTTGGGGGGTTTTTTTTGTTTTGTTTTGTTTTGTTTTTTGGGGTTTTTTTGTTTGGTTGGTTTGGTTTTGTTTTTTAAATTTTTCCTCTTTTTTCCCTGCTCATTCACAGCTGCTCAGCCAGGCATGGAAACGGAGAAATTGAGGCACCAAAGCGGCAGCTCCTGGCACCAAAGCGATGCCAGCCGTGCCAAGGTGCCACATCCCAGACCTCCACCCTGCCCTGCCCGACCTCCGGAGCCGCTCCCACCCCCGGAAAGCTCCAAATTCGGGAGGTACCGACCCCTCCCCGCCGCTCCGGGGGTGACAGCGAGCGCTGCTCTCATCTCGGCCAGGAGAATTTGTTTGTTGAATTTTCTCCCTGCAGGAATTCTCTCCCCGGCCGCGGCCAAGTTTCGGATCCACCTTCAAAGGCGCCCTTTGACATTTTTCAGCCCTCGGACGTGGCTCCGGGCATCGTTTTTTTCCGTGGCTGGAGTAAAATCCAGCCGTGCTCTTGCAGGGAAAGGTGGGGCTGTGTGTCCCCAGCCTTGGCCCTGATGTGGATTTTCAGCCATCCCGGTGGTTGATCCCCTTTTTCCTGGTTTGTCCCACATGGGTTTGGAGCCAAACCCCTCATGGGTCTGGCAGAGGTGGGAGAGGGAATGTGCAGAGCTTGGGGATGCCGGGGGACAGGGCCAGGACAGCGGGAATGACTGAGGGGACCAAGGAGAGCTCGAGGGACAGAGGTGGGAATGGGGGGACACGGAGGAATTTGGGTCCCAGTGTGTCCCACCAGGAATGGGGAGGTTGGAGCATTGTGACCATTCCCTGGTCACTCTAGCCATTCCTTGGTCACTCTGGATGTGTTCTGGTCATTCTGGACATTACATGGTCACTGTGGACATGTTCTTGTCACTGTGACCATTCTCTGGTCACTCCACCCATTCCTTGGTGACTCTGGACATTCTGTGGTCACTCTGGACATGTTCTGGTCACTCTGGACATTCTCTGGTCATTTCAGCCATTTCCTTGTCACTTTGGACATGGTCTGGTCATTCTGGACATTCCCTGGTCACTCCAGCCATTCCATGGTCACTCTGAACATTCTATGGTCACTCTGGCCATGTTCTGGTCACTCTGGACATTCCATGGTCATTCTGGACATTCCATGGTCACTCTGGATGTCCCACGGTCACTGTGGACATGTTCTGGTCACTCCAGTCATTCTATGGTCACTCTGGCCATGTTCTGGTCACTCTGGACATTCCAAGGTCACTCCAGCCATTCCCTGGTCATTCTGGCCATGTTTTGGTCACTCTGGACATTTCATGGTCATTTGGCAGCAAAAAAATCTCCAAGCCCATGGGAAGGGAAGGGAAGGTTTGGGAAGGTTTGGGAAGGTTTGGGAAGGGAAGGTTTGGGAAGGTTTGGGAAGGGAAGGTTTGGGAAGGGAAGGGAAGGGAAGGTTTGGGAAGGGAAGGTTTGGGAAGGGAAGGTTTGGGAAGGTTTGGGAAGGTTTCGGGAAGGGAAGGGAAGGGAAGGGAAGGGAAGGGAAGGGAAGGGAAGGGAAGGGAAGGGGGAGGCAGGGATCCCCCAAAAGGATGTCTGGCAGTTCGGGACGGCACCATTCCCGCAGGATGCGGTGGGAAGGGGCCGTGCCGCCCTTCCCGGGCTCTGCCGGGCGTTCCGGGCGGTGCCAGGCTGGAAAATCGCGCTCAGCCTCCCGCGGGAGCGGCTCCTGCCCGGCCCCTCCGGCTGCCCCCGCGCGCCAGAGCCGCATCCAGAGGGGCCGGGACGGCGTCCCCGGGAGCCCGGGAGAAGGGCTTGGCTCCGGGAAAAACGCGCTGGAGTCGGGAATGAGCGAAGGGGAAAAGAATTCCGGGATGTAACGAGCGGATCGCGCCTCACGTGGCGGCTTTGGGGCCGCGGGGAGCTGAGATGGGGAGGGGGAATTGATCCCTGCCCTAAACCAGCCGGGAATGGCCTGGGGAAGGGGCTGCGGCAAAGCTGGCCCGGCCACAAGGCGCTCCAGAGGAGACGGGATTTGGGGATTTCGGTGGGGTTTTGGTTATCCCGGCACAGGGATCCTCAGGGAGGGAGGAAGAGGAGGAAAAATTCTGTGCAGATTCCAGGCATCCCAAATACCCATCCCTGCTTTCCTGGTGTCCCCATGCATCCCTGAGCATCCCTGAGCCTGGAATGGGATTCCTGAGCCTGGAAAAAATTCCTGAGCACGGAAAGGGGTCCTTGAGATTGGAATGGGATCCCTTAGTTTGGAATGGGATCCTTGAGCCTGAAGCAGGATTCCTGAGCCTGGAATGGGATCCCTGAGCCTGGAAAGGGATTTCTGGGCCTGGAAAAGGATTCCTGTATCCCCATATCCCCCATCCTCACATCTCCTCCCTCCTGGTTCCCTCCCAGTTTTTATTCCCATCTTTTATTCCCAGGTTTTATTCCCAGTTTTCATTCCCTGTTTTTATTCCCACTTTTTATTCCCAGGTTTTATTTCCAGTTTTTATCCTCAGTTTTTATTCTCAGTTTCCATTCCCAGGTTTTATTCCCAGGCTGTATTCCCAGTTTTTATTCCCAGTTTTCATTCCCAGTTTCTATTCCCAGTTTTTATTCCCAGGTTTTATTCCCATCTTTTATTCCAAATTTTTATTCCCAGTTTTCACTCCCAGCTTTTATTCCCAGGTTCCTACAAGGCACCAGGGCAGCCACGACGACTTCGCTGCCTTTAATCAAATCCCTTCATTAGGTTGT